GATTACTGTAGGAACTTCGACAAAAATTTTAGGCCATTGGAAGCCATATCCTGCCTCGGAACAAAATCAAATAAGCCAAAAACTCTTATACTATGGTAATGGAAGCCGCTGACTTCGAATATAAAATTCCCACTTTCATTTGATGCTTCTTTCCAAAGTTATCTCAAGTAAACCGTAATAACCGAATTCCCAGTACTTGTCAGAAAGGTAATTACACCATCAAAAAAGCTGAGAACACTCGTAAAAAGTCGTGTGGTGGAGCCAGCGTGCGCGAAAACCCTAGTAGGGATTTTTCAGATTTGAAAAAAAAGGTTTTGCCAGATAGCATATTTCACAATGGTTCCACATGCTGAAAGTTCTTACCGTAATCCTACATTAACGAAGAGCGATCGGTGATTCGCTCCATACCGTCAATCTAAGCTGATGGCTCCTCTACAGAACGGTACCTGACTGGCAAAAAAAGACCTATTGGGAAGAGAGATATTGACAACTGAAAAGTGTGTACTTACTTTTGGGACACCCTGTATATTAGGTTGTCCCATAATTGTTAGGTTGGTTCATAATTAATCCACGTTTTTCCTACCTCTTCTTTCAAACGCTAGTTTTCAATCAAAAATCGTTTTTCTCTGAAACCATCTAAAATACCGCAAAGCCCGTTTCTTCTACTTTCAAACATACACTTTCATTTTCGGAGATCTTTGTTCAGACCGAAGTTCCGTGCCTTTAAAGGAAAGGTGAGGAACTCAAACTTGAAAATTTTTCCTTTCCTTCGACTTGCCCTGATTCCATGAAAAATGCTCAAATTTGTTTCAAAATATGTGTTATAATCGCGAAGATATTTGCTACAAAATGCTCGCCAAGGCTAAATTTTTTAGAAATCCTGAGCCGAGAAGCTTTGACTCAAACTTAACTGAATGTTGGGATCACTCGGAGTTTTATAAAATGCTCACATGAGAAGCAATTACAGAACTTTCGCTTGGTTTTGGTAGAGTAGATCAAGGACTACTGATAGTAGGAAGACGGCAGAATTTTCTCGTTTTTGAAATGAGAAAAAATTGAAGGAATCTAAAAAATAAAAGTTTTTGCCTCCTCTAAAATGCAGGAGAAAATGATACTTTTGCTTTCTTGGCAATATTTTTTTCGCAGAAAATTTTTGTAAAAGCCAAGTCCCACTCTACTATTGAATCGACCATCGGCTACACAATGAGCAGAGTTTGCTCCATTCTAGTCCTTTTGTGAGTAAGTTATGCTCCTTTAAACTAGAGCTTTCCAGAAAAATTCTCAATAAATTTTAAGCCGTAAAATCTTTCCCGTGATGAGTGCAATCACATAAAAGTATACGTTGTATAGCTAAGGTTTGCTGTCTACAATAATTTTTGTTGCGCTCAGAAAAATTGTTTTGGAAAAGAATTATCTTCATTAGAAGTGGAAGTTGAGAAAACGTGCATTAATTATGAACCAACCCAATATTTACCGTTTTTGCTTCGATGGTCGTCTTTTTGTATCTTTCCTCTAATTGATGCGGCTTGAGTAACCCTTCGATAGGGCAAAGCAAGCTCTACAAGATGGCTATCAAAAGTCTGTACAAATCGTAATCCATGTAAAGTTTTGAGCTGAAATAGCAGTCAAAATCAAATTTTTCTATCAAAAATCGTATCTCCGTCCCAAAAGATCTAGAAAATTCCTTATTTAACCTAGCATTTGCTTAACACATCGAACATTCAATTATACAATTTTCGTATTTTTTCCACGGCTAGAAATAAAGAAAAAAATTTAAGGGAGTAAAATGGCAAACTCCACCCCTAGAAGTCCTGAGCTCCTCCCACACTACATACAGAAGTACGATCATGTATTTGGAAATTTTGAAAGTGCCCCTGTTCTCGAGAAATGCTGATGTTTAAGGTAAAAACGGTAAATAATTATGGGACACCCTAATATATAAAACTTAAAAATTGTCAGTTTGGAGGGTATGTGCGTTATAGAAACGCGCGCCGCTAGACCGATTTAGCGGAAACTTTGCACACATCTGTTTTCGATCCCTGCGCGGATGATAGGCTACTTTTTGCGGCGATTCGCTGGGTTCTTCTATCTATTTATTGATTTGTTTATGTTTTTCTAAGGAATTGAAGGCTTATCATGTTCAATCAAGCATCACGAGGATGCGGTTTTGAAGCGGGTCTCAGGGTAAGTATCCATAACATATAAGAGGCGGGGGGGGGGTGGCTTGCAGCGTAGATAACGAATGACCCGGGCTGGACTGGGAAGGCCCACTAGTTCGAATATAAATTCGAATGATACATTCGAATAAAACATTCGATTAAAATGTTTTCGAGACCTACTTTTTGATTATTCGTTTCGGAGTTTATTCGAAAATGAAAAAACTTCTAATATCGAATTTTGAATGAGGATATATTCGGATGTTTTATTCAAATGACCGAACTTTTATTCGATTCGGACCCATGTATACCAGCATGGGACAAAGTGGTCTAATCCCACCTGTTTTGTGTTGCGTTTTTTCTTTTCAATTCCTGTTTTGATACAGTAAATGAATCATACATAAGTCTGTCCTGGCCCATTACGGATCATACTAATTTCCTAGTGATGCGCATGCAGCTTGCTGTCACTCACTCTCTCCTAATTTCTTCGCCTTTTCCGACACTGCCACGCAGCGCAAACTGAAGGCACCATCAGAGTCAAGCGTGGGGTGTGGCATTCCACACCTGGGGGTCGTATTGAGAGGTCGGGGAGGGGAGGGGGGTCGTTATCGAGGTGAGCTGATGTTAGCGATAACATGATATTCGTTAACAATGTCAAGGCAGTGTGTAAAGTACTAGCACATTGATGTTTTGGCCTGCCATCGTATACGTATAGTAAGCGTGATAAAAGGGCACTCTAAGCAATTAAGCGGATTTTCTGACATGATAATCACAAATATGTAAATGTTACTAATTATGCTAGGTAAAGCCTTTATGTAATGCCTACGGCAGGCAAACGAAAATTGGGGGGGGGGGGGGGTATCGAGGCAGAACTTAGGGGGTGGGATCGTATCCGGCGTTTGTGGGCCACACCTATTGCTCGACCCTGGGCATCATTAACCCAGATTCTCGACTTCGAGTTGTCTTCCAAAGCTTTTCATGTGCCTGATTCCGAACATAGAGAATCCGCGAAAACCATGACAATCCCCATTCCAGAAAACTCGCAGGCCTGTTCTCCGGAACGGTGATTGAACGTCGTGCACGGATGAGCGGACATTACTGAAGGGCGCGATGTCGACTTGGGGTCCATACACCTCTCTCGACTTGGGGTCCATATACCTCTCCTCTTCGCTATTCCGAAGTGTTCTTCTTGCTTCCAAAGCGACAATTTGCGCTGGACTTGGGCATTGGCTTAATAGTGGGTCCTACTTTCGTAAGCTGCCAAGAGCTCAAGACTCCTAACTTAGGGTGGACGGTGCCTTTAAGCGCTATAAGCAAGCGATTTTGCGCCAACGTTTTGGCTTGATTCTGATTGAGCCAGACATAAAGTCTACTAAAAGACTAAAGTGCAGAAGCAATTTTAGTTGAGCGGGCACGAACGCGGCGCGAGCATGTCTACACTGTTGTAGGCCTTGCGCCTCATGTGCCTTAACGTTGATTTTGGGTTTATCATCTTTATCATTATGCACAAGAGCTTATCTCATCGCAAAAATTTCAGAACACGAGCTTGGACATCATCGAATGTAGGCGGGCACCGAAAAATCGTGTTATAGGCCGTCCGCGCAGGGCGCGGAGAGTGCGCTAGGTGTGTGCGCGTCACTTCTCTTTCCTCGTGCACTCTCGCCGAGTGTTTTCTCTGCGCTTCTTCCAATCGTGAACTGCCTTCAATGTACGCAACAGCGTTGCTCTCCGTGCGCAGCGCGAACGGCCTGTACTGACTTCGCACTCCATTCGTCAATTTGTAAAAGATGGTCCACCAGTTTTTGCATCATCGCCTTTCACTCCTTTGCCGCTCTTTTTCACAGAAACTGCTGCTTTCCCATCGAAAGAGGAAGTCAACGACTGCCTTTTGACAAACGACTTTTTTCAGCAGTCTACCAGTGGACTGTGAGGAATCAGCCGTCTATCTTTCCGATGCCCAGCTACCTCGGCATTGTCTGAAAGAATCCAGTTTCGTTTTTTTTTCGAAAATGCGCCGACTTGATGCTGAAGTTGAAAATAGGTTTGAAAAGCAACTATCACATCCAGAACATCATGCGCTGGACAACACATCGAAGGCTCAAGCACTAACCCTTTGCACGAGTGTTGAGTAAACGCTTTCAAAAAAGCAGACTTCCGAAACGACGAAAGGCCTTTGGACATTTGAAAAAAATAAAAGGAATATAACTTGTCTAATTCCAGAATGCAGTAGGTTCAGCGTGTAACAGACATATCAGACCTTGATACTGTAGCTTCACATAGGGAAGCAGTGCACAGAACTGCAAGGTTGTGCAAAAAAGAGTTCTGCTCAAGTGTTCGTATGATTACGGCGGCCCCAAAAACGGCTTACCACAGCTGAAGCAATGGAAGGTTTCTTATAAGAAAACGATCTTTTCTGGGAATGTAGTACTAGAGCAGTGGCCAACAGAAGAGCCCCCCCCCCCTCCCCGAGAATAGGTCGCAAAATCTTTGAAACTCACTTTCATGGGTTATAAAAATGTGCAGATGACTTCTTTATTCTTGTTAATTAGAATAATTTTTGAATTTGTTGAAAATACAGATTAACCTTGTAAAAAGGTCATTTCGGGCGTGGTTACAGCCACGCCCTTTTCTGTATTTTAGGGGTCATGGGATAGACTCGCAAGATTTTGAGAAGCACCCTGAGAGTTTTTTTCGGAGTGCGTGGCTACACCTTCAACTGAAAAAAATCTTGCCCTCCCCCCCCCCGGATGATGGAAATCCTGGGGTCGCCACTGTACTATAGTACGGTTTCCTTTATTAAAGACGCTCCTTCTAATTCAATAACTGGCGATGTTTTGTTTGTACCTGTACGTGGAAGCCCTCGATGGTACCATAGGATACGGTACCTCGCAAAATGGCCAGTTTATACATGCAGAACGCCTTCTGAATCCACTTCTGAAATTGAGATCAATGCACTGTGAAAATTTCGTCGTGCAAATACTTCCAAGCTTCAAAAAGGCGAACATCTTGAGAGTCAACATTGTCTAACTTTGATTTTCTTTCGCGCAAAAATAACCAGAAAGCTGACTGAAGTGCTTACCTTTCATTTGTGATCCAAATTGGTTCGCCAGTGTGACGAAAAAACGTCCCATCTACCGTAGCTTCGTAGATCCCTGGTGTTTTAGTGTCATTCCAATAATCGAATCTGAAGTATTATGTCCTTTCGCCCTTGTCTACATAGCATTGTTGCTTACATTCTGCCTCTCGATCTATCAAAGAAAACATTCGAAACAACACCATGGCTCTCAGTGTGTAGCCCTGAAATCAGGATCATGTTCTTGTGGGAAAATTCAAATCATAACTCTACCTGTAGATATTGCCATATGGTTTACAGCAGTAAAAACAGGAAATTGAGGGGCTACTCCGTTGATGAAATGGGCTCCTGAGGAGGTCCATTCCGCTAAATTTGGTACCTGCAAGATTGTACTAAGCACATTACATGAAGAGTTCTTCTTTCTCACCAGTCTCGAATCCAACAGGTCATATCGAAAACCATCAAATGAGATAATTATAAGCTTTGGATGCTCACTGAGTGGTGAGATTGGGGTGATTAAGTATAGAAAGTAAACAGCAGCGTAGTTCATAGAGCCTCTAAAAAGGATTTCTCTTATTAAGAAGTTCGAAGAAATATTGAAAATACTGTTACAGCGTGCAAATGAAACTCAAATTGATTAATATTTCATTCTATTGCTTCCCGTAAAAGAAATGCAGATGGAAAAGGGGAGGGGGTAAGGGGGAACGATTCTGAAGTGTTTGACCATTGGTCCATAAATGATGGTAGAGATTCACGCTGCCATCTAAATTCACCATGCAAAAGCGCGAGCAGATCCATTGACTAGGTTTCTCAAAAACTACACCCCAAACAAATCCACTCAACTTCTGTTGCGCAAAATTTGAGGAATGATATGTTAGTGAAAATGACTTTGTTGATGTAAACACATTTGATATATAGCTGTAACTGTATGATACTTCTTTGTTTGTCCTTTCGGATAGTAAAGGAATCCCTCAAGCCGTTCTTAAGCCACAACAGTGGCGATCAGGATCAGGCAAAAGAAGACCGCTTATCGATTGAAGAAAAGAAAGCTTTCCACTGTTCAAAGGGAAGAAGAATCCTTCCACGGGTCAAGGACAAGGAGGAACTCTACGCCACAGGAAGACTTAACGTCAAGACTATCAAGGATCAAGAACAAAGGATGAGCCGCAATTACGACACTTCTTCAGATGAGTTATCAGTTCCAGTAGAAGCTATAACCGATTCACAAAGAGTGAGATTTTCTTACCAGAGAACCAACTATGCCCAATGTGACAGAAGAAAAACATGGCCAAGAGTGGATCATGGGAATGATGGCAGAACAGTTGCGTCTCCAACGCGAAGAGTTTTTGGCACTGTTCACCAGTTTTGCGAGAGGCCAGAATGCTGCCGTCCAAGATGCTGGGAAGGATCAATCTAGGATCAACTCAGCAAAGAAATTCAGAAGTTTATTTTCGACGAAGACACTGGAAACATATTCGCATACTGGTACGACAGGTATGGTCCAACTATGAAAGACGATGTTTTATCAGACAATAAAAAGCGGGACTTGATCCTCATGAAAAACGATGAGGAATCGTATCGGAAATATGCCAATGGCGTCTTTCCGTTGAAACCATGCGAGATTGATTTCGAAGAAACAGTTGCGAATTTGCAAAAGCTATTCGCATCTAAGAAGAACCGTACTGTCTTCATTGCCGAATAATCCACGCGCGCCGACGATATGAGTGTCTCCGGGTCACTTGCCCAGCACTGACGTCAACCTACGTACCCTTTAGGGAGTACGCGAACACCAATTAAGAGAATGGACGAAGACGCCAGATTCAATGAGGTGGATTATACGACAATGAAGACACTACGGTTCGTAGCAGGTCTTCAGGACCCCTCACCTAAGGAAGTCAGTCTAAGAATGATCTGCAGACTAGACACCCACACGGAGGACACACCATTGACAATAGAAGATCTTGTTAACGAGTGTGAAAACTACACCGCATTGAAGATGGGCAACACAGACATGGAAGGGGCTCGAGATATTCATGCTGTGTGGAAGAAGAAGGTAAAGTGCTTCAACTGTGCAGGACCGCACAAAAGAAGCGAATGCCCTCGCCTCCTCTCTGCTAAACGTAAGAAGCGAAAGGAAGCAGTGACTCAAACTCATGGTTATCAGAAGAAACGGTGCAAGAAGGTTGTCGCGTTTAGCGCCGAAAACGCGCGTCCCTATCTTGACTTCACTATTCAAGGATGTCCCATACGTTCCAACTTGACACTGGCGTTGGTATAAATTGATATCACGCCGAGCATGGAAGAAAATAGGATAGCCAACCCTGGAACCATACATCTCAGATAATCGCCGAAGGCAGGCGGCCATGCGAATTTTGAGCAAGCGGGCACCGGAAAAATAGTTCGCTGATTTCATGCGGTCCGCTTGCAGAAATTTGAAAGAATGTTGGCCAAATTTTAGACGAATGCTCGAAAAACAATTGCGGCTTCTTCATAGATTGGTTGCGGCACAGTGGCCGCATTCTCGCGCACTTTTCGCGAGAATATGCAAAAGTATTGAAGGCCGCACGGTTCTTTGCGAAGGACCGCACAGCCCGTAGGTACCTTCCGCGAAGGTGAACAAGTATCACTGTCGTATGGTGACCCAAGATAAAAAACTGAGAGCAGGAGTAATCGCTAACGTGAAGAGAAAGTACGCAGATGTCTTCAAGAGTGGACTTGGGAAATGCACAAAGACTAAGGCGAAATTGTACCTGAAGGACAATGTAGTTCCTGTATTTAAGAAAAAGCGGCCTGTCCTTTGCGTCTACAAAGGAACTGGAGTTAGAAATCGACCGGTTGGTGGCCGTGGGAGTGATTTCTACAGTGGAACATTCGGATTGGGCAGCACCAATAGTGGTGGTGAAGAAGAAGAACGGAAAATCCGTTAGTGTGCCAACTTTTCAACAGGCCTGAATGATGCATTACAAATGCACCAACACCCATTACTCACCGCTGAGGATGTATTAGCAAAGCTAAATGGAGGCCAGCTGTTTACATATCGACTTAGCAGAAGCTTATCTGCAGATAGAGGTTGATGAAGCACCAAAGAAATGCTAACGATAAACACACGAAGGATTATACCGCTATAATCGCCTACCCTTCGGAATCAAATCTGCGACCGGTATATTCCAGAAGATCATGGACTCATTGATATGTGGACTAGAAGGAGTAGCCGCATCCTAGATAATGTTATCGTTACCGGAAAATCTTATGAAGAACACAAAAGAATTTGGATGCACTGTTCAAAAGACTTGAGGAATACGGCTTTCACGGCCAGCTGGAGAAGTGCAACTTCTTGATGCCCGAGATTTGCTATCTTGGATGCATTATAAACAAGAACGGTCGCCACCCAGATTGTAAGAACACTGAAGTAATCCGCGTGCCTGCACCAAGGAATATTGCGGAACTACGTGCTTTCTTAGGAATGATCGGTTATTACGGGTCGTTTGTTGCAGAAATGCATCAGTTACGCGCGCCATTGATTGCATTGTTGAAGAAGAAGGTTTCTTTTGAATGGACGGAAGAATATGAGAAAGCATTGAACAGTGCCAAGGTAGTTCTTACTGCTGATCTGCATTTTCGGTGGTCGCTTTGAAAGCAATAACCATTGTGGCCTTTCCGAACCGTTCATTTGCTTTTTGAAACCGTGAAAACGGCAACCTGACACGGGAATGGTCAGAAGTCGAAGTGACCAATCAAACAAGCTACATACTTTTCGATGCGGCATAGAACGCTCATTTCAAATCTGTCTTCCATATCTGCAATACGACTTTGTAAGCGAAGTTATGAGCATCTTTACTGCGAAAAAATCGTACACAAAAATTGCGAAATTAGGCACACTATTACTCTTTTAGCTCACCTTTAGATACGGGCCATATGAAATGACCTACTTGCATGTTTTGGTTCAACACTGAGCCGAGAACGGCTTTGTACGGCCAAGTTTGCCCTTCACACGCACGAATTGCAAAAATGGCCTTCAATGGCTTTAATTTCATCAACAAAAGTGTTCTAGATAAGGAAGACAGATTTAAAGTCAGCATTTTATGCTGCATTCAATGGTATGCAGCTTGGATTGGCCACTTCGGTTTATGGCTTAAGGCATACCTCCCGCGATCCCAGTCGCGCGCAAACTCCAACTCGGACATATGTTCCGAGTCCGCAGCGCAACTGTAGGGTCCCGCCGTGTCTGTGCTAGATTGACGCCGCGACGGATCGCGGGCCGTTTTTGGACGGGCATACCTCAGCAGCGAAATCGTCGCGACATCGCTGAAACTCAGCGATGTCGCCGTCGCTAGGTCCGACCCAGCGATGAGCGAATCGCTCGGATAGCTTCTTCTTTGTTATGAAGTTTTGTATTTTTTTGCAAATGCGAATTTCATTTAGGACTATTCCATCTCAATGTATTAATCTTCTCTGTTCTTGTTTATTGATTACAAGTAGTGACCGAATCTCGATTGTTCCTGCTATAATTTCCGAAGTGGATAGAGTAGATGTGCAATCTCGGTTGCTCAGACATATATCGTTCATTGCCTGATTAAGAGACACGAGCACGCTTCGCGTACGTCCCGTTTATAAGTTGCTAGTGCGTTTTAATGCGATTTGGTTAGTCACTATTGGGAATTCGTGCGTAAACATGATCGAACTCGCGTTGTTTTACGAGCTTGAACATGTCTCACAAGAACCTTACTCGTAAACTTGTATTAAACGTACGCAAAGCTTGCTGGTGTCTTTTAGTCGGAGAATGAATGATTTGTATAATCGCTCGCAGATTGGCAGACAAGAGCTCGCCCAGCACTTGTTGTTGAAATAACCTACTCAGAGTTTTCTACAAAGACAGAAGAATGAATTTACAACAAAGCTAACCTATATGCCTACCGGTCACTAAAAGAGAACTCAAAATTTTATGAACTAGTCGATTTTATCGCAGATATAACTACCAAACTTGCGCCAGTAGACGTTGGGAAATGCTGGGATGTGTGTGAATCCGTATCCTTTTGTTTGATGTAATGTTTCTTAAAGCATATGGCGCCACATTCTGCTCGAATCCTCTCGAATCAATGCACTTCAGAAAA